CAAGCACCCTCCCACTTGTACTAAATGCACTCTCAGATGCAACTGTGGAAATAGGAACTGCAAGTACATCCCTAGCCATTTTGGAGAGAATAGGAAATCTCTCACTATGATTCTTCCACCACTTTAGAACATCAAAACTCACAGATTCATTATCCTCAACCAGATTTTCACTCAAGTATATTTGTAGCTCTGTCTGCTTACTGCTTCCACCACCACTCTCCAATCTCTTTTTTTTTTTTTTTAAGTTCACTCTTCATCCTTGAGACAGGCCTACCAACTGTACAAGTAGTAGGTTGAGACTGGACAGGTTGGTTAGAGGATGAACTGTCAGAGTATGTAGCTGCATAGTCATTGTACAATGCAACCATTGAATTTTGGACCTTGGCAAAACATTCTTTGCCTTTGGCCTCTCCATACAACTGGACAAACTGGTGAGGCATGTACTCCTCTTTATCTCTAGGGTCCAGAATATTGGCAAAGAAAATGATATGGTTCATTTTTTCTGGATCTCCCCAGTACTTATCAAACTTCTCTTTCATTTTTGTCCCTATTGCCGAATAAATGCAGAAACTCAGAAAGCATAAGCATTTAAAAACACAAACAAGTAAACAACTTACAAGATATACAGAATTACACAAATAAATTGCACAAGTTTTTTACCTTTTCAGTTCTCTCAGCTTTAGTCATATCTTCCAGCATGCAACTGAGATCAGAGATCTCAGAGAAGAATGTGTTAGAAGTGACATAAAGAGAACTAGATATTCTCACAGTCATTTCATAAAAAGTTTTCAAAAGCTTCATTAAGCTTTCAACAGTCTCCCAATCAAGGAAAGAAGGTGCAGAACCCAAGTCAGCAGAAAAAGAAGGATCATTTTGATGATATGAGTCAAAGACACTTTGATATTGAATTGCAGTGTTGAGCATAAGGTAGGTGCTGTTCCACCTTGTAGGGACATCAAGCTGCAAAGCTGATTTGGCTTCCACCCCAATGAGTTCAGCAAGTTCTCTGAACTTATTCAACCTAGCAGGTGAGTTCCTAATCCATCTCACTGCATCCCTCACCCTTTTAACTGACTCATCTGCAAACCTCAAGCCATCTTGAACAACTAAATTTAAAATATGGGCTATACACCTCATGTGCATATACTGCACCCTAATAGAAGAACCCCCCCAAGACAACAACTTGCTTTTAAAAAATCCCATAACTGTATTATTAGAAGAAGCATTGTCCACTGTCACAGTGAACACATTTTTAATCCCCCACTACAACAGACAACTCTCTAAGGCTTTGGCAATATACTCCCCCCTATGAGAAGAAACAGGGACAAAGGAAATGATTTTTTTCTGAAGCCTCCACTGGTCATCAATAAAATGTGCAGTAATGCACATATAATTAATCCTTTGGACAGAAGTCCAAGTATCAGTGGTTAAACTGACCCTTTGGGTGCCCACCCTAAACAACTTCTTAAGACTCAACCTCTCATCTAGGAAGATTTGGTAGATATCCCTAGAAATAGTCCACCTAGAAGGAATCTGAAACCTAGGACAAGCTACAAGAATAAACTTCTTGAACCCCTGACCCTCAACAAACCTAAAAGGGAGTTCATCTATTATGATCATCTCACATAATGCCCTTCTAATGGCTTATTGATTAAAGACCCAAGTCCCCAAAACCCCCACAGGAGCCTCTGTTACAGAAGTTGAAACAGTATTGAATGTGAGAAGGGACTGCCTCATATCCTTTGAGACAGGATTTTTAAGGCATGCCATCATATGATTTTTCAAAGATGATGTGCCATGTTTCTTAGACTCACAGAAAAACACTTTCAGGCAGTAAATGCACTTGCCTTGAACCACTATATTTTCAGAGTTTTTGATCTTTTCAAAGTGATCCCAGACTGGAGATCTAGACTCAACCACCCTTCTCTTTTTTGCAGGAACAGCAGGAGCAACCTGAGGCTGCTGAGCAGGATTCTCAGTGCCTTGGGCTTGTCCTCCATGTCCCTCTTGAGTTGAGGGTTGAGGTCTAGAGTCAGGAACATTGATGCTTTCCATCTAAAATGATGGGCATCAATTACTCAGCAAAGGCAACAAGCCAACAATCACATATTCACATTCACATAAACATACAAAGAAATCTGGATTCAAACACTTTTTGTGTCATCATGTATCAAGATTTCACATTTTCATATTTACATATTTACATATTTACATTCAAATATTCAATTAAGGGTAATACATCCATAAACATACTCAAATAATGAAAGAAATCCAGATTCAGGAATTGTATCCAATTCATCATTATCTGGATTTCAGTTAATGGCTTCCACCAATAAATGGAAATTTCAGGTTTGGAACTTGATAATTTCACATTCAAGCCTTTAACTTTTATTTTAACATTTAATGGCTTCCACCAATAAATGCAATCTGTAACTTCTCAAGTATCAACAGATTACAATATCACAGTCCACACAAATCACAAGTACAAAATTAGAGACAAGTGAGATGCAATCTGGAACTTCTCAACAGATTACAATATCACAGTCTACACAAATCACAAGTACAAAATTAGAGACAAGTGAGATGCAATCTGGAACTTCTCAACAGATTACAATATCACAGTCCACACAAATCACAGGTACAAAACTAGGGTTTCTGCTTCCACCTTTATAGATCAGAGAATACAACACAACATAGCATAATCTAACAATAATATACGAGCATATGAACATACAGAGAGAAAAGAATCAACAGATCACAAAAACAAAAACTAGGGTTTCTGCTTCCACCATAATAGATCAGAGAATAGAACACAACATAGCATAATCTAACAATAATATACGAGCATATATGAACATACAGAGAGAAAAGAATCAACAGATCACAAAAACAAAAACTAGGGTTTCTGCTTCCACCATAATAGATCAGAGAATAGAACACAACATAGCATAATATAACACAAATATACGAGCATATGAACATACAGAGAGGAAAGAATCAACAGATCACAAAAACAAAAACTAGGGTTTCTGATTTACTTGGTTTCCCCTTAATATTCCCCGGAGAACAAGGGCCTCTAATCACCAGTCCACGTTCCACCACCAACTCGAGAAGGGCTTCCACCAGTCGACCACCGCCCACCGGACAATCGGACAATCGGACAGTCGAAGACTCCACAGTCCACAGAGACTCAGAGTCTCATGCAGTCAGACTCTCAGTCTCAGAGAGTACAGACTAGAGAGAGGTGAGACTGTGAGAGACTCAAAGGAATGAGAGGGTGAGATTGAGAGGAGTAGAGAGCAGAGAACGAGAGAAGAGATCTGAGAGTGAGAGAGTCTCAGAGAAGAATCAGAAGAGTAGGGCTGCGCATCTGGCTTCACAAGGGCTTCAACATGCATATATACTCACCTCATACGATGTCGTCTAGCATACACATAAAACCTAACCCTAGGTTAGATCGGATTGTCGGACGGGTCGGATGAGAAAAAACCAAACCCTATCCGACCTCCTTTATCCGACGTCGTTTATGCCTTCGGTTCGGATATGGCTAGTCGGACCACGGGCGGGTCGGATGAGGTGGTTTCGGATTCGGATCGGACGGGTTGGTTGGGTTGGGTCGGGTTTGCACAGCCCTAGTGAGCTGCCGCCATGGTAAGCACTAATGTGCTGTGAAGAAATTGAGCAGAGCTACTGCTACAGAGAGAGACGCTAAGTGTGGAGAAATTAGCTGGGATGGTGCCAGTGCTGGTGGCGGCAATGATGGCCGGCTCAACTAAGGGCTCCGAACTGATGACTATGGCGAGGGACGCGTCGACGAGGCGCAACGGCGAAGTTGCGGTGGCGGAGGAGGTAAGTGGGTCTCAACAGATTGGAGATGAGGTGAGGTTTGGGCTGGGTCAAAATGGAAAAGACGGAATTATCCTTCCGATTACAATATAATTTGGTCAATTAAAATTTTCCAATAGCAATTTGGCCAAAGAAATTGAAATTGAGAAAAATTAAATAATTACGGTACTAAATTGACACTCCATAGTTTTAAAACTCGTGAACTGCAATTAACACCACCACAATAGTCATGAGACTAAAAATGAAATTTTATCTACACAATACCTATGCAAAATATTAACAAATTCTACACTTGAAAGACCAATAGACCCAAATACGATGTGTCAGGATACTATTTCACAACACAATTAGTTGCTAAAAACAGGTTTTAGATAGAGTTTAGCCGTTTAGGTTGAAAATGAGTGATAAGCTGCATCATTACTCCCAATTCGTCATCATACGTATCCAAAAGTTAAGAAATAAAAAACACTTTGAGGGTTTTTCGCAAATGACGGTTAACTAATAATTAGTAGCTGATTGGGTTAATTGATAACTGATTGAGTTACTTAATTTAACCAGCTGATAGTATGAGTTAATTGTAAAAAAGTGTTTGGTAAACATCCCTTTGGCTAGCTAATAGATTACAAGAGCTGTGTGTATTGCTTGGTGGATTAGACCTCAGAATGGGGGGCCCCTAATCTTTACTTTGCCCAGTTTTCATGGTGATAAAGGCAGCCTTAGCCATCATTAAGCCTGCCGCTCAAACCCATCTTTAATCTCTTTTATGCATAAAGAAAACGAAAAGAGAGGGGAAAAGAACAGAGGGAGTGAAGTTGGAGACACAGATTACTCAACTTTAGCAGAGGGGCCTCTCAGTGCAATACATACATACAAAATGCACTTCCACTCGAGTAGCCCAACCAAGATAACTAAAGATATAAACTTGTAACCAAAAGTCACGAGTTCGAATCTCATCCCTCTTGGTTTGAACCGGTCAACTATAAACAACCTAGGCTGGTTTACTTCCTTGTGGCCTTTTGTCTGTTAGGGTCACAAGGCGAAATGTAGCCGGTGCACACCCTCAGATAGTGACTGCAGATTTTCCTCGTCACCGAAAAAAAAACAAATTTCCACTCTCCCACTTAATGCCATTTCCCCGCCCCCCCCCCCCCCCCCCCCCCCCCTTTTTCTGTCCACGGTAGTGTTAAATATCAGGTTGCACCTGCACTTCAGCATCAGTACCTTGGCTTCAAAGAAACAAAACAAAACGAATATAGCACGAGTAAGGTTTCTCCTCATCATCATCATCATCATCATAAGTCAGTTCTTTTCACAAGCGAGAAAGCGAATGTGGTTGATGTTCTATGCATGCTTACCGGTGCTGTCTTGTGTGCTTGATTGTCACAGTGTCGCTAAAGCTGGAGGGAATCAGGGAAGAATGTGAAGCGAGTTGGTCGCCCTCCTCCACATGCCCCCCGCCAGAAACTCCTACCGAGTCCATGGAGTTCCTAGCCAGGGCGTGGAGTGTATCCGCAACTGAACTCTCCAAAGCTCTTTCCCATACCAAATTAGATTCCACTCATGCTCACAAACCATTGGCTTCTTCATTTGGTGTTAGGCAACCCAACTTCGAAAAGCCTGAAACGACAATGGTGACGAAGGAACGTGTAAGTATTTATTGACCCCCGCCTTGAGGTTATGAAAGAATTCCAACCTTCCATTTCCATCATTTCATTCATCTAAATTCGTATTACAGAAAGTGCAACAGCAATCAAACTCAGATAGTCCTCTAATTTCTCCAAGAGAAAGTGACGATAGTAAGGTTATTTTCTCCTCCCCGTTTCGTTCTTTATGTGATTATGTCCTTATAATGGAAATCTATTCAAATTCCCAAATGGCATGCAGTGATAAAAAGAAAAGCATCATATAGAAAATTTAGAGCTACCACACATACATAGCCAATAATCATTGCAACTGTGATTAGTACAAACAGTTAAGAGCAGAGTTTTCTTTTTTGGTTAAATGACCAAAATCGTTACTGGGAAACGAAATACGAAGTTTCAAGCTGGACTAACTAACCTGTTTGGTCCATGCAGGAATTCCTTTTGTTTCATCAAGCACTCAACCCGGAATTCCTTGCCAGTCAACATCTGATGAAAGCGGGGGTATCATGTTATCCAGTAAGACCATATTTACAATACAAATATCGCTATAAGCAGGCTCAGTTTCATATTTGTTTATGCAGCAGCTCTACAAAAGTGTCGCGAGGGGCAAGACAATGGGGAGAAGGTTGAAAGATCAAAAGCAAAGGAAAAAGCAAGAGCTTAGAACTCACAACGCCCAGGTGCATGCAGCAGTGTCGGTGGCAGGGGTCGCTGCAGCGGTAGCAGCTATTGCAACCTCGTTAGTAACCTCTCCCGAGCTATCTGGAACCACCCAACAGAAGCCATATTCAAACGTATCAACTGCCATTGCATCTGCAGCAGCTCTGGTTGCATCTCATTGCATTGAAATTGCTGAGGATATGGGAGCCGATCAGGAACAAATCCTATCAGTTGTTAATTCAGCAATTAACGCGAGGACTAATGGTGACATTATGACACTCACTGCTGGAGCTGCTACAGGTATCAAGTCAACCTCCCTCACAATCCTCATTAGCCCAAAATTTGAAATACTACATAACTGATAAGTAAATAGGATCTCATTTTTGAGTTAATGCCATCTGGGGTCTTCTGAATATAGTGACTCTGTCACGTTTAGTCCTAAACTTTCAAGTTAACCATCCCGTGGTCCTTCAACTTTCAAATTTTAAAAAGTGTGGTCCTTTCAGATGGATCACGATTGGTTAAAATTTGAAAGTTGAAGGACCACGAGTGGTTAACTTGAAAGTTTAGGACTAAACATGACAAAACACTATACTCGGAGAAGTTAGATATGTTTAAATAAAGTTACGAGAAAACCTGACCTCGCGGAAGTGGTGTTAGAGATCACATTACTTCAGCCATAGTTGATGGCCTCTTGAATGGTAGACCTGCAGAGTATCGTTAGCTGTTTTGTCCATTGATTCAGAACTTTAGATGGTGTATTAGGATTATTCTGAGCAGCATGTGTACCAATGTACCATAATCCATATGAGCTATATACTGTATAACCTATATCCCATCAATATAAGCTTTATATTAGGCACATAATCTGATTGACTAACAACTTCTAGCTATTCAGTCCAACCAAACTACTTAATAAGCCTAATCAACCTGCATCACATGATTAAGGCTTTAATATATAATATATATTTTATACGGGAAAATCCAACACAAAGGACCCCAAATGGCATTAACTCTCTCATTTTTCTTCCTTCAACCTTAGCATATGTTACACAATGATTCTGGACAATCTAAAGTACACATAGGATGATGCTCTTTTATAAGATTTCTTTTGCATCATTTATTAAACAAGAAATGAATAGTTCCATTCCACGAACATGTCTGACTGTAAGTATATATGTATACAGCATTGAGAGGTGCTGCCACACTAAGGGCAAGGCTGCAAAAGGGGTCCGGAGCTGAAGCTGTTGCTTTGGCTGATGAGCAAAATGACATTAGTAAAGAACCAAATGTCACAGCAACACTGAATTTTGTCTCTAGAGGGGGAGAACTACTAAAATGTACAAGAAAAGGTACTATAAATTATTAGTCAAGCACTCAGGAGATGATTTTGACAAGACCTTTCTGTAACATTACTGTATATGCAGGTGATCTCCACTGGAAGCAAGTCTCTTTCAACATAAATTCAAACTGGCAGGTAAAGCATAAATTTTCTTGAATATACAGAAACTATTGTTGAATTTGAAAGATCCAAAGGCCTGGTGGGTGGAGAATAACAACCACCCGCCAGTTAGGCAGAAACAAAGATGAAGAATCAAGGAATGAGAAAATGTATATAATACTAAAAGGTTACAATATATATCCCATACAGACATATAACTGTTAATTTAAGCACCTATTCATAAACAGACACAACCCTATAGACAGACATAACCCTTTGTTTTTCAACAACTATTATGCAAAGAAACCTCCATCAATTGGTAAATAGTAAATCTTTCTCATGATATATACAATATAATTTCTTAATAAAATTATTACATGCAAAAAAGAACAAAGCCTATCTACAACTTATCTTTTTGTTAATCTCATCATCTTTTCTTTGAAATATGAATTTGAGACTTGGCGGTGAACCAGGTGGTAGCTAAAATGAAAAGCAAGCACATGGCAGGAACATTTACAAAGAAGAAGAAATGTAAGAAAGAATTCACGTGCTTATATTTAAAAATAAAAAATAAAAATAAAAAATCTGCCATGATGCTTTACCAGTCATATCAATTAAGCCTTAATGAGTTCTCTCAGGTGTAGTCTCTGGAGTCTATAGTGACATACCAGCATGGCCGGGACGAGAGGAAGAAGAAGACGAACATAGAGCCTACTTCGGGATACAAACTGCTGACAGGATAATCGAGTTTGAATGCAGAAACAAAGGAGAAAAACAGATGTGGGTAGATGGGATCCAACATATGTTGTCTTGCCAAATGAAGATGAGTTGAGTTTAAGGTGCATCTCTCATTGAGAAAGATTCAACTGTAACTTTTCTGAAATAGTGCCACCAAAATTAAATATTAAAAGAGAAGAAATAAGAAACGATGAAGTACATATTGAAAACTGGCATGGCCACGCGTTCCTTTGGTGATCTTTGAAAAACTGTTCTTGTAAAAGGTGTCTTTAAAAAATTAGAGTAGGACTTGACTGTTATTAGTTATTACAGGGCTTGTATATTTTCATTCTAGTTCCTTCAGAAAATCACTATTATCAACAAATACCTGCAAGAAGAAAACGACAAGGTATAATAAATGAAAAGGAGAAAGTAATGAAACTAATGTCAAATGAATTCTAATTTCTGAAACACCCAACTGTGAAAGAGAAGCACTTGATGCTCATATTCTGGTTATATATAATAGGCCTAGATATGGTGGAAAGACAAGAACTGAATGCCCACTTTATCAGATCTAAGTACCAGCTTACTTACATTTAATTTTAATGAATCCCTCTTGATTTCAATTGGTTAACTCAGCCGAGTTGGCCGACTTGGGCACCTAGTGTTTGACCGAGTCAAGCGCCGAGTTAGCCGACTCAAGCACCTAGGCCCTAGCCGGCCGACTAATGTCCGCCTAAGGATAAAGTCCCCTCGGCCTAGGGGCGCCTAGGCGGCTGCCTAGGCCGATTTTTGCAACAGTGCTTATAACACAAACAGACAAACTAATTATTGAAGTTCATCAACAAGTACTTTGAGTATCTTCAAACTAATATGAGTATCAGCAAGTAACAAGGGAAAAGAGAAACAGAGCCAAGACTGTTTTGCAAGATTTTTAAAAATATTATATTTTAAATAAATACAACCAAATCTGTGCTAAGATACATGGGCAAGATTGACTTACAGCTTTCCAACCATCCGGATCAACACAAGCTGTGATCTTTGTATTGATGCCAGGCAAGGGTCCAGGTTCAAGTGTAATTTCCCCTCCACAAAGTTTTATTACTTCTGCAGTCTTGTAGACATCATTTGTGCCTATTGCAATCTGGAAAGACATAACAACTTATATCGCTGAAAAGTCTTTAATCAAGCTCCATAACGTATTCACATTTCACAGCCATTAAGAAGTTCTGGCAAAATTGATATTTCTGCACTTCTTTTTAACCTTTTCACTCGGTCAATATTTCTTGTAAGAATCAAGCTATTGATGTATTGCTCCAAAAGGATTTCAAATACCTGAGCATAACCATTTCCTTTCTCGTATTCTTTAACACCATAGTTATATGTCAATTCCACGACTACATTTTTGTCTTCAGGGCCATAACCCATGATGGCTATAGTACACTGTAAATAGCATTTAAAAATTAAAACAAAAAGAAGCAGCGAGTGGGAAACAGAAAAGAAACTAAAGAGCAGAGGTTATGATTTATTAACTCACTTTATTTTCAGGTTTATCTTTCTTACGAAGAAGTTCCATGCCATAAGCCTTGAGAAGTTCGTATAAGTGACTAAGTGTTAGAAATAGACATTAAATATAGCACATATGAAGCTTAAAATTAAGAAGACCACTTTCATCTAGCATATACTGAAGCTACCTTCTTATAGAAATTAACAGCACGGTCAAGATCCCCTACACGGAGCATTACTTGACATAGGGGCTCGGGAGTAGGACTCCTCTCCAAAAGCTCAATAGGGTAGCCATCGGGATCTTCGACATATGCAATTGCAGCACTTCCAGTTTTGACAGGGCCCGGTTCTTGGGTAACCTTGCCTCCCTTAACTTTTATGAGGTCAACTGTTCTTGCAACCTACAAGCAAATATAAAGACAGAATATAAAAAGTACATACTTTCCTTTGCAAACATTTATAACAAAGGGAAAATCTGATCCTTGTTTCGAAAGGAAGCTCCAAAAAGATGCAGAAAACACAAAGAAATGCAATAGTCCATTAAACACTATTAGGAGGACAATCACCTAAATAGCTTGAGCTTCTACTCATGCTTAAGGCTTTAAGATACATGATTATAATGAAACAATTAGATTGTCAAGGTAATTAACTCAAGTAGCTTAAAGAGCCAAAGAAAAATTATGAATGGCAGGTCAAAGAAATCAATATGAATTATAGAAAATCAGGTATCCAGAAATAAAGGGAATTAACATGCAATCTAGACAAGACAATACAAAGATGGTCTCGCACATAAGCCCTGTCATATTATGTTATGCTACTTATACAAGAACATTTCCTTGGAAAATGGTTAATGAACTTGATTCCATTTTCCATATGAATATTAGTCAAAAGTGTCAAATAATCCCAGGCAATGTAGCAACTACAGAACTAACTTGCAGAAATGTGTAATAAATTGACATCATAGCTGAGTTTTGAAGAATAAAAAGCCAAGAATGCAATTCCTTTATACTATACAACTTACGTCCTCAACTGCAATACCAAAATGTCCAAAACCAGTTCCAATGTCATACTTGTCAATTCCGTAGTCTGAAAGCAATCAAGACCGGTATATGATTCGAACTTCCCAGAGTCTCCAGAACAAAAGATAAATAAAGAAATTGCTATGTTAGTTATTTGATCCCTTACTGTATGTAAGTTCCATAGAAAAATTTGTTTCTTCAGGACCAAAGCCAAGAAAAGCATTTGAATATCTGTCCTCTGGAATGTCACGTCTCCTCAGCAACTTCATGCCCAGACACTCTGTGTAGAATCTGTTCCAGATGAGGCTAGTTTATAACTAGTTGAAGACAAAAAAACAAGACACTCTTCTTTCTGCAAAAAGATTCGTACTTTATTGTCTTGTCTAAATTCCCAACACGATAGACAACATGGAGCATCCTTCTTTTGTCCTTTTTGGTCCACTCCAACACATTTTCCTCAACCATCGCACGTGCTATATCTCCAGCTGTTCCAGTCTCTATTACCTCCCTCTCAGCATTGAGCGATTGCAGTGCTTTTGCATCAAATAGCTGAGTCTGAGTGATAGCTGAATAACACATGAAAGTTGAGTATGTTATTCCCAAGTGTACCGAAAAGATACTTACACTCTCTTCTCTGATTTTCCAGGCAAGAACCAAGGAGAGGACACAGAGGAAAAATAGGCACGTTTGCAACTTCATTTACCTATGTATTACATCAGTACATTGAACACCAAAAAGACAGTTCTCTCAAATAATAGAAGGAAAAATTGCACTTTTCGTCCCTAAGTTATACAGTAATTGTAGAATTCGTCTCTAATTGTTGGTTGTGCTCACTTTTCGTCCCTAAGCTATCGGCCCTGTTTGGTAAAATATTTAGCCTATAGGCCAATTTTGACTTATTTGACCACTATTAGTTGTTTGACTTGGTTTAAAAATCAATATAAGTGTTTCGTTAATTAGCTTTTTGTACTCCAAAATGCTAAAATTCAAAAAATTACTCAAAGCAACTTTTTCAATTAGCTTTTTGAGAAAACAAATTATATCCAACAGCTTTACCAAACAAATTTCTACAATCAGCTCATGTTATAAACTAGTTATAACCTATAATTAACCCAATCAGCTAACAGCTATCAGCTAACAGTCATTTACCAAACAGGGCCATCATTGGTGTTGCACTTTTCATCCCTTTACTAACAAAACATTAGGGACGAAATTTGCAACGTTAGTATAGCTTAGGAACGAAAAGTGAGCACAAAAAGTTAATACAAGAACGAAAAGTGCAACGCCAATAATAGCTTAGGGGCGAAAAATGCGCACGACCAACAATTGGAGACGAATTCTACAGTTACCCAAGCTTAGGGACGAAGAGTGCAATTTTCCCATAATAGAATTCTAGAAATGTTGAGGAAGAAAATCATAATTTTAAGATCAGACAGTTAGGCCAGGAAGCGGGGGTGGGGAATACAATTCACTTGTAATTTTGATTTTTGAAGAAAGTTGCGATCAAATTCCCCTTTAACAGAATATGCTTCTATTATGCTTAACTAGTATCCTGAAGATTTGAAACCCAATTAAACCAAGATTCATCCCAGAACAGAAAATGCTCGTTTTCTCTTGGGAAATTTGGCAGTGTGACCAATGTCATTGCTACAATAAAGTTGCAGACTTGCAGTAACAAAAGGATTCAAAGAAACTAATACACAAAATCTTATATATAGACGTATATAATTGTAAAAAGAAACAAAAAAAAAAATCAAAATTAAAATAAGGTGTGCAGGGTAGACGCACCAGTGGTGAGATGCAGGAGAGCGAGCCTGCGGGATGGGGTGTAAGCACGAGGCAGAAAAGCACCTCCGCGTTGACAAGAAGGAGAAGAAGAAGAACAGTTCAAATCAGAGAATGGAGGTTGAAGTGAGCAAACTCTGAATGCCATTTTTTTCTGCTTGGAAATGTCCTCTCAGCTCTCTTGCAAGGTTATCCATTTTCGTGTCCACCAGATTTGTTTTATAATGTCTCCATAATAAATATCTTGAAAATTTTAAGCTACTGTACTTAATGTATCTCTGTATACTTAGAAATTTGCAGGGAATGTGGAGATTCTTAAACCTTATTCTTGGTTTATTTTTTGTTGCATTCAATGGAAATTATATTTTCCACATTCTAAAGTTGCATGATATTTGAGGCAATTCAATCAAGTTAGAATAACCACATGATTTTAAGTTCAATTTTTTGTTAGAGTTTCCTATTAATTTTTTTATTATTTTTTTTTTTGAGTCAATCATTTATAGGTAACTTAGGGTGTGTTTGGTTGATGGGTTTTGCCAATAGGAATGAGTATGAAAGTGATTGTTATTGTTTGATTGATAGGTTGTTAAAACACTACTATGTGTTTCGAATACTCCATGAATTGAAAAACTCATACCCAAATAAAATAAGGGTTTCATTCCCTTATTCATTCTCAAGCACTACTATTAGTAACCATTCTCATTCTACCCTACTACCAAACATGTTAAATAGTTTCACCAAAACCCATTACCATTACCTTCAAATTTATTAATTTATTATATTCACTACATTGTCCATTGTCTTCTTTTTACATTGTCTTGTAATTAAATATCACAGTTATAATACAAAACATGTTAGTTATATTTATTTATTTACCAAGTATTTTATACAAATATAATAAATATTAATATTTTGTTCAATACTTTCACATGATGACCTACGACACACATCTCACAACACATGAAACATGTAGAGGAAAAACTAGCACTACTTAATATCAATAGGTGTTTGTAAGATAAAGAGTTCATATTACAACTAAAATCTCAGTCATATACACAGCAGGACAAATATAAAGCTTCCTACACTATAATCTCATTGCATGATGAATCCCTCTATGCTGTCACTAGTAACCTAATTGCACATGACATACTATCAATAAAAAAAAATTAAAAAAAAAAAAAAAAAAAAAAAAAAAAAAAAAAAAGAGGACATGTACTGAAGATGAAAACAATGATAATGCTACCCAAACAAGAATATAGAAGAATTAGAGAAATTTAAACCAAAAGTAGTATTTATTTAGACTATCGCTTTAAGACTAAGTATTCAGACTAGCGTTATTACAAAGTTGCACACATTTATTTTAGTGACAATTATAATCAATCTCTCATATATTATCTTGAATTTATATACTTTAAATTACCGATTTAAATAAACAAATTCAACATTTATTTATCTATGCATAAACATCTCCTATATAATATTGCATTGATATACTTTGAAATGCTTATTTAAAAATAATCATTGGGCATTATCCCATTCGCACAAAGCGCGTAAAAAACTAGTATTTATATATGCATTAAGCTTTGTTTTTATTGACATATAGAAATAACATTATAAACCTACTATAAAATGAATGGAAATACATATAATGTACATTAGTTTAGCATTTTTGGACATTACAACTTATGTTTATAGATGTATAGAATAAATATTATTAACATAGTACGAGATGAATGTTATTAAACGTGATGTGTTTGTAGTAATATTTATATACATTAAGTTTTGTTTTTATGAACATTATGAACCTATTATAGAGTGAATGATAATATTTATGATGTATATTTAGTTTAGTGTTTGTAAACCTTAATGTTTATGTTTATGGAGATATAGAACAAATATTATGAGTATAGTACACGCAGTACCAGCCCTGACCCGCAAATTATGCTGTGGAAACGTGTTCACCACGCGCATGGTGAACACAGGGGTAGATCCATAATTTCTATGTTGTAGATTCATAATTTTATTTTTCATTTGTTGTGAACGACGTTTCTCTCTTCGCAATCGCATTATTTCGTCTTCGCAGTACAGATATTATGAATCTACAGTACAGAAATTATGAATCTACAGTATAGAAATTACGAGTCTACAGTACAGAAATTATGAATCTACAGTATATAAATTATGAATCTACAGTATAGATGTTATGAATCTACATTATAGAAATTATGAATCTACAGCTTAGAAATTATGGATCTATCCCGTTAACAACAAATGAAAAACAAAATTATGAATCTACGTTTTCAAAAAAAAATAATAAATAAAAAATTATGAATCCACAATATAAAAATTATGGATTTACCCCTGTGTTCACCATGTGTGCATGGTGAACACGTTTCCACAGCATAACTATTACACCTTGCAAGGTGGACACAATTCTAAAACGTCGTTGTTTTGGTGAAAAACAACGCCCTGTCAATTAAAAAACAAATTTTATTTTTTTTTGTCGTTAACAATGTTTGTCTTCAGGAAGTCTATTTTTTTTTTGTGAGTTATCTTTAGGAAGTCTATGTTCATAATTACTGAATTCTATGTTCATAATTATAGAGGAGATAGAAAAGACTTGAAATCAAGCCCGAGCTCGCGTGCGCCGGCACCTGTCGTCCGGAAATTGGCTGGTCTTGCGGGCTAAGTTATGCCAAGCTTCGGTATCATTTTCCAACTGGTATAGTCACTTGGTTCGCCCGGAACCGAACCGAGAGCACAACTCTCGTGCATCTGTGACCACGAGAGTGGTGCACTCTCGGGTTGCACCACAGCGCGCACGAGAGATGTACTCTCGTGTTGCCTGGTCCGTGTGCTCTTGTGTGAATCTGCACCCAAGGTCTGAAACCCGAAAGTTCAGCCTGTTGTACAGATTAAACTCATCTGTTACGGAATTAATACTGTTTAATTCTAATTTTAAATTCTGAGTTTAATCCTACTTAGTGGGTGACCGTTACAGGTGTTATACAATTGGTTTAATACCAATTAAAGGCCATGTTGAATGCTATCCCTTCCAACATCCCTATATAAAGAGAGGTAGAGCAGTAGCATTTTACACACAGCACGAAACCAAGGATTCCAGTACTGTTTTGCTTCAAAACTTCTGCTTCTACTCTCTTCTTTACCCAGCAGTGCTCCTGCTCTTGCTTTGTTTGCCGGGTTCCATGTTTAGGTGCTTAAACAAGGAATCGAAGCACGTTTTATCCTAGGAAACCTAGGCTACAACGCTTCTAGCACTTGTGGGAGGTAGCAAATAAGGTTTTAAGGAAAAGAACCTTGTGTTCGAACTCGTGCTAAACCTATACCCAAACACTCAACCTTTTCCTTCCCGATTTTCTGTTTTCCCATATAATATTAATCTTTCCGTAGGATTATTATTATTATTGGGATTTTTCAACCTTTTTACCCAACAATTGATACGTTAAAAAATAATGTATCAAAGCTTTTTGATGGCTTTATCAAGATATTACTTATGGAGTACCAGATATCTTCGGAATATATTTGCATTTCTAATTCTATGTCCTTTGATAATGGTTTAGAAGGGTTAAATTCTATTCATTTGATAATGGTTTAGTTGTTTCTATGTAATTGTGTTGGAATTTTATAATAATAATAATTCTATATCACCTGCTGTGGTTCTATACGTGAATATAAGAACTAAATATTTGAAGTGTCAATCAACTTGCAGATTATTTCGAGAAATAGGGGTCAAAGGCCGTGTATGGTAAAATCCTCGATGATTTTATCGTGCCTTAATGTGCTCGTTATTGTGACTAAACAATAACTCGGAGACCATAAAAGTGATAGGGAAAACCATTGCCAAGTTGGAGTTAGGAGGTGGAGGAAGAGAAAATTGAGAGACTTGCATATGTGAACTGAAATTTGAAATTGCAACACTCACTTTCAAAAGAATAAGAAGAGAAACTAAGACACACAAACCTATTCATTTTTTATTTTTTTTGGAACAAGAACTCTAGTGATGAAGGTGGGTCTCTAAGAGTTGCATATAATGCACATAGTAAGGTTTGTTACTAATTTAGTTAGTCATGAAAGTTAAATATTGATAGTTAATATAAGTACAAATATAGTTGATCTCTACTCATGACACAAAACTAAATACTAATTAGATACTAATTTGGTTGCTCATAATGGTTAAATTTTGATAGTTATGCGATGCAAAATTACTTATTTGCTTTTGTGTGTTAAATAATTATTGTAATTATTACACGTGCAAATTAGTAATTTTGCATCGCATAACTATCAAAATTTAATCATTATGAAGCAATCAAATTAGTACCTAATTAATATTTAGTTGTGTCATGAGTAGAGATCAACTATATATGTACTTATATTAATTATCAATATTTAATTTTCATGACTAACTTAATAATTAGTACCTAATTTGTAATAAACCTTACTATAAAAGGGCATTATATGCAACTCTTAAAGACCCACCTTCATTACTAGAGTTCTTGTTCAAAAAAAAAAAAAAAAATGAATAGGTTTGTGTTTGTTTTATTTCTCTTCTTGTTCTTTTGAAATTGAGTATTGCAATTTCAAATTTCAGTTCACATATGCAAGTCTCTCGACTTCCTCCTCTCCCCCCTCCACCTCCAACTTCAACTTGGCAATGGTTTTTCCTATCACTTTTTTGGCCTCCGCGCTATTGTTTAGTCACAACAACAAGCACATCAAGACGCTGTATACCTCAAGGATATATTTTACCATACATGCCCTTTGGCCAGAAAGTGCTCAACATCCTTCAAGTCTACTGCTATATAATTCTAATTCGGTAAATATATTATTATTATTATTATTATTATTATTATTATTATTATTATTATTATTATTATTATTATTATTATTATGTAACATGGTATACATAAATGTGTTTAGTGAGTTTTATAGAAACATTTGCAAAAGAATGAATGCTGCAACGATGACTATTTTTGTAATTTTGTTATTTTTACATACAGGATCAATAAATGCTGCAAATATGACTATTTTTGTAATTTCGTTATTTTTTGAATTTGCAAGATTGATTGCAGCATTGTTGTAGTCTCAACATATTATTAATGCGTCAAGTGTGTCATGATGTTCTATTGCCCTACATTGACATTTTTAATAATGAGTTTTAAAAGTAGTTATATAAGATAATGATCTAATTACCATTTACATATTAGTATCA